TATGTATACATTTGTCTATATCTATCTCGATTCGTTTTGGCTGTTACAAACAACCGTTATGTGAACAAAATTAATATACCCTTGTGCACAAGTGCGCTCGGGTATAAAAAATATGACGTGCAACTCTATTCTACGCAGTCCTTAAGTCAAGTTTATGCAAAATTATGGATTCTGCATTTATTATTACGATCCTAGTATGCCATTATCCGATTGCTGCAAATAAAAAAAATATTTTCATTGAATAAATAAATTCCTATTTATGGGTGTTGAAAAAATGGTAAACTAGTGTCTTTGGTCGCAGTTCGTCCGTGACTCTATGGCTGCGTTTCTTTATACATTCCGGATAATCCCATTTCACAGCCGGAATAAACAGAATGCCTTTGAAATATACGTTTACATATCATCAGGAACGTTCTAAAGAATAAGTAAACAAAAAAGTTTATTCCAAACGTTCAGAATGAATAAAGAAATGCAGCCTATATCTTTTTTAAAATACTTTTAAAATTCATATAGGCATAATCATAGTCCCCAGCTAGAGCCAGCTTTAATTAGAGTAATACTAAAAAGCAATTTTCGTGTGTATCATAGTCAGTTTAGTACTATTCCCCATGAAATCCGGCTTTACCACAAGATTCTATTACAAAAGTGTTAAATTAGCGGTTTTATGCCTACTAGCAACCCTGATATTTGAGTTTATTTCGGTTAATTACACGGTGCTACAAAACAAAAATCATGAAATACACCCGAAGCAAAACCTAGTGTTGGTTGTAGGTATGGTCGAGTACAACATGAAAATATGTCACGTATAGTTTCAGAACCCTCTTGACCGATATCAACGAAATTTTATGTACACATTGTGCTTAGCCTCGTTAAGCACCGTGATGAATACTTTTGAAGTCGGAAAAAATCACGTACTCCACCCACATAACGGTAATTTCAAATCTCAAAGCTAGCTATTTTTTTGGGGGGAGTAGTTTTCGACCGATTTCAAAAATATTCAATAATTTACATAAGGAGGCCAAGTACAATGTGTATATCAAATTTCGTCGATATCGGTCAATTAGTTTTTGAGATACGCATATGATATACTTAAATTGCTTAACTTCGACAATTTTTATGCAATTGCAGTAGATGAGGTACCAATTTATTTATAATAAATGTACTTTTAGATAAATATTACACATTTGGCAACTTTTACCTAAATTTTTTAAGGGCCTGTGCCAATCGGTAACTTTTTTCTCCGTGGTGAGACGGGGTGGAAAAATTTGCTATGGTGTACAAATAAATTGAATTTTGCTGTGCCAAATGCAGAGTAAAATTTTGACAGTTGAAAAACCAAACAAACGCTCGTTCGAAAGCTTTATTTTTGTGTGTTGCTGAAATTCTTAAAATTTATATTTATTTTATAATTTGCAAGTAACGTACGCTTTTTTATGCTGTTTAGCTTTCATTTTCATGTTCACTCCAAATTACCGCCAAGCAATATTATGTGTATACATGGTTATAAGCTGCTATATTGTTTGACGTTCGTATTCACCACGACAAGTGTCAAATTTTTACTTTGATCCGTCAAAATTTTCTATTTTCTATCAATTGGCACAGGACCTAAATTAGCGATGAGCAAAGTTGAAAAAATGAATAAAAATAGGGGCTCGTTAAAGTTTAACCGATGCAGTCTCCCAACAAGCTAAGTCTAAAATTTGCTTTATTTCACTTTTAAATGGGAAATAATACCAAATTTTGCCTTATTTCCTATTGCTTATTTACACTATTTGTACAAAAACAGTTTACAGACAGAAGGAAAAGAACTTTGTATACAAAAAAAATACAATTAAACAAAAAATGTGATATAATTCGTATGAAGAAAGTAAAGTTCACAAAATATTTTTACTTATGAAAAGTTTAACAAAATANGAAAAGAACTTTGTATATTATAAAAATACAATTAAACAAAAAATGTGATATAATTCGTATGAAGAAAGTAAAGTTCACAAAATATTTTTACTTATGAAAAGTTTAACAAAATATTTAATATGTTAAAAACATTGCTGGAAAACCTTAAAATGTTTGCATGGAACCATGCGCAATAAACAGGCGAAGTTATAAAGCAGCTTTCTCGCTTTATTTTCTGTCATTCGGCTGCCTTATAGTCAAATTTTACAGGCAATTTACCAAATAAGGCAGTGTCAAAATCTTTTTCTCGCTCTAATTTCTTCACCTGGTATGATTCCGCCATGGCATGGAACAAACAAAATTTGCCGTTCCTGTTCGCAGCATATAACACAGAGAATATTGTTATATTGTTTTGAGTTTAAAAGTGTGTTTGCATTGTTCAACTTTGCGTTCAACATTTGCGTTCAACTCAGCGCAGGGTTGCACGAAAAAAAGTTGAATGGCTAAAAATATCAAAATATGAAAAAATATCAAAATATTCGCCATAAAAAGGTGTTTGCATTGTTCAACTTTGCATTCAACTTTTGGTTAAATGGCCTTTCAACTAATCGCTTTCAACAAAGTTGGTCGCCAGCCAACATTTAGCCATTCAACTTTTTTTTCGTGCAACCCTGCGTTGAGTTGAACGCAATTGATAAACGCAAAGTTGAATAATGCAAACACTGTTTAATCTTCAGTTAAAATTTCTGCATTATCATCACTGGTTTCACCATATCCGAAATGTGGAGTTCGTTTACGAAGACGAAGGGAACATGTGGTACGAAGTAGTGATGTAAAATTATGTAAAATTTTACCCACTTATAAATTTGAACGTATACTCGGTATAAACAGGTGGGATGAATGGGGCATTAAACAGGTGACTTTATTTTCTGACATTCGGCTGTCTTATAGTCACATTTTATAGGCATGTTTTGAATTAAAGCAGTGTCAAAATATTTTTTCTCACTCTAATATAACTTCACCTGGTATAATTCCACCATGGGTGCGGTGCATGCAGTAACACCATACGCAATAATTTCCATTACTTGGACATTAAAAAGCAGTTTCAGAAGTGAACTAGTGTCATTTGATTACTATTCTTTTTTCGGGGGATGCGATCGCGTCGTCGAACGGGGACCGTCGCGACGCCTGGTACTTTCAAAATTGTATACTTACAAATCCGTCCATTTAACTTATTCATGTACTACCTTTTGTCAAATGTAACTGGGTGACTACCTACATATGTGCACTTTTTTTGCTTTATTATTGTTAAGTTTAAAAGTTGGTCTTATTGCTCAACGAGAATTGCGGTTTGTGTTATTACACCGAACCCCCATTTTCATGTTGTACTCGACCATACCTACACTAGGTTTTGTTTCGGGGGTATTTCATGACTTTTTTTGTAGCACCGTGTTACTATGCTGCGCCATAAACTTAACTTAATAAAATAAATGTACAAAAAATTAAAAATAAAATTAGCAAAAAGTGAGAACATTATTTAAAAGAATCAAATTTGTCTTTTTGTCGAAGAATTATCTACAATCCAAGTTTCGCGCAACTGTCATAAATGGTCTTTCGACATTCTTAATTATTCTTCGTCCTTTGAAATCCACAAAATCCCATTATAAATGCGAAAAATAAACACGAAAAATTAAATGGCATTATGATTGTCGGATTTTGTGCTAGCTTTAGTAACAGCTTCTCGTCCCTCCAACTCTAGGAGTCGACTCTAAATGAAAAAAACAGGCACTAATACGACTATTACCTTGTTTATACCGACACATAATGCGCTTTGACCCAGTTCGCAGTGATTCAAAACGAATGCATAAACTAAATTTCAAAACGCTTTGAAATTCAAAAGTGTATTGACATGAATTTTTTTTCAAAGCGGTTTTTTATTTCTCACATCAGTTAGAAAATGGGTATAAACACATCACTTATTTGACGCAGGTTTTCTTTATACAGCCCGCTTTAAATTTGAATTATCTATATATATAATAAATAATATAAAAAAAACTGTTTAATATACAACGCTTTTATAAATGGACTAAAAAGTAGAAAATAATACTTAAAAAATCGATCTATGAAGCATTGTTTATTTTATTTTTTTGAGTTAATATATTTTCGAAGGTAATTAGAAAATATGTAAAGAACCGACTTTCTCTTGGAAATTTAATTTATAATCTTATAACTGGAGTCTACTATCGCACCCTTTCCTCAAACGTGTATTGATTCAATATTCAAATAACGTATATTTATATAATTTGAAAAAATCTCCCTACTATACAAATATGTACAGCAATATTAACTAATATTTTCAAATGTTGTGAGAGGGAGTAACAAAACAAAATTACTTTTAAGGCGCAGCGAAGCACGCCAGGTATTCGCTAGTGTCACATGAAATTAACTGAGCAAAGTACAATGAATAGCTGTTAAACAATGTTTCACGCACCGGCACCATCTACTTTAAATGAAACATACTTATTTTCGTGAGGGATACTCACACACCATATACTTTTCTATTGAAATTTTTCCTGAATTTTCTTAGCTATAAACCTCCAACGAATGCAAAACCGTGGAAATCGGTTCGTGCGTTCTGGAGTTATAGCGTCAGGAAGGAAAACCCTACTTATTTTTATATTAATTTTTATATTAAAGAAGATTAAAGAACTGTCCGCATTACACAATTTTATTTTTCACAAAAACGGTATTCATGAATTTTTTAATTTTTTTTTTATTTGCATCCGCATATTTTTGACATAACAGCTTTCATTTTATGCCCATATTAAACAAATGCAGCCTAAGTTTACCCGGGTCCACGTTTTGGTCTGTATCTCGAGACCCTAGTCACCCAGCTATATGAAAAGTGCTCAATCTTAAAGCATTCATGAACAGCTTTCATTTGATACCCATATTGAACAAATACACCCAAGGTTACCCAGGTCCACGTTTTGGTCTATATCTCGAGACCCTAGTCACCCAGCTATATGAAAAGTGCTCAATCTTAAAGCATTCATGAACAGCTTTCATTTGATACCCATATTAAACAAATACATCC